AAAACTATATAAATAATAAATAAATAAATAAATAAATAAATAATAGATGAAATTAAAACGAATAAATTATGATTTTTTAATAATACCGTTTGCTTGTGCGATGATATTACAAGATGCATATAGGCATGTAATAAAAATATATTACTAGAATCAGCAAAAAATTGAATTTTTACACAAAACGTATTACCGTGCAGGTTCTCGAGCAATTGTTAAAAGCATCACGTTAAATTTATGCAAAAATGGTCAACTACCAGGTAGGTAGCAATTGACAGGCCCAAAGCATCAGCCAAGCGGCGACCTGAGTTGGCCCAACGTACAGGGTTTGCTGCCCCCAGGACTCGAGCTGCCGCCAGCATTTCCATCTCTTTAGTGTTGATGTTGTTACCCGGGAAGATCGTCTCCTCCGTAGAGGCACAAGTTTTGAGGTGCAGCCAAAAAACTCAAAATCGATGTGAAGATGTCCAAGTAACCATTTTCTGTAGAGGAGGAATGATTGATAGTATGCCGTAGTCCTGCGCTATCCATGCCAACAAGTTGCTTTTTGGTTTGGATAATAGTGGTTTTTCGATCGCCCTTCTATAGGGGTTTTGTTAGTTCTTCTACAGTACATTATGTCTAATTATTTTATCCGTGCATAAAACATTGTTGTTATTGTTGATAATGATGTTCTTCTCTCCTTGTGTGTTATTATCCAAATTAATGTCAACAAAGCATAAGATATGTATAAAGAATAAACAAAATATCAAAGTCTTCATAAAATAAATAATGACAATTAGATTTCTAGTAAATAAGAATAACTTGTCCTACAACAAATAAATATACCCACCCACCTAATAATATGGTTTAGATTTACTACCACCAAGTTTCTTAGTATCAACCTCGTAAATCTATCAAGTTGTGCCGAAATAAATAATTTTGGGATATGATTCTCTCTGAGCAAAATTCACGAACCTTTTTTAATTTTGGGCAGGTTAAATAAGACAAATATCTAAAATGGCTCTTGTTGACTTCCAAAAGTCTTGGGGTGGGAAATCTGGCGCGTTCTCGTTTAATTTCATAATTGGGTAATTAGTCAAAGCAATTCCTTAAAATTGATACAATTCCATTTTCTCATCAAGGAAAAAAAAATCTCTTCTTTGACATGAAGATAAAAATAAAAGTTTATTGAGCTTATTGAAATCAGCGAGACAACTCGGCAAAATCAACTTGGATGGATCTATTAAAATATCAAAGACATTTATTATGAAGGACATCAGAGAAAAAATATCGGGAAAGTTCCTTGCTCAGATTCTAAGAAAATGAAAACTCGTGCCTAAATCAAGTGAATGAATGTTATTGAGCTTTCTTTGGGCCCAGGAAAAGAAAAAAGCATATACTTGTCACAGTAATTGATGGTGGAAGGTTAAGATTCGGGAATGAAGAAATTCGTATTATTATAAAGCGTGGTTTTTAGTGTTTTTTAAATTTTTTAAGCCTATTTCGAGGAATTATAGAAACCAAAAATTTGAAGATCGAATAAAACAGTGCAATTAATGCGGAAACAAAAAAGAATTCGACTAATTCTTGAGAAAGAGGAATCTAAGAATTATTCATTATGAATTAAGTTTATTATACATTTGAATCTTAGAGATCTATGAACGTGAATAGAAAAGATTAAAAAGGGTATATGCCTCATTTATTGTATGCGGCACAAATCTCGCAAAAACAAAATATTTAATGGTCACATGGTTTCTATTGCATGTGACCTGTATATGCTGAAAATTCACAATTATAAATGCTTAATTATTACAAGACAAGAATATTTATTAAAAGATTACTTCATAATCAACCTTCTCTGGAATAAATAATTTATTAAATAGATAAAAAATTGGTTATTATTATTAACGTAATGTAATTATATTAATATACATAAATTAACCCTGCCGCACCAATCCTATATTTCAATTTAAACAAATATCATGCATAAATAAATAAACAACCAACTTTTCCCCATTATAATCTCTGAATAACAATCGAAGAAGCTGCCCCACCACCATTACAAATAGCGGCTGCTCCTAATTGGTCAGACTTCAATAAATGTATCAATGTAACTAAAATCCTTGATCCAGATGATCCAAGAGCATGTCCTAAAGCCACTGCTCCACCTGCTATATTTACTTTTGATGGATCCAATCCCAATAATTGTTCGTTTGCTCTGCTTACCGCACTAAATGCCTCATTGAATTCAAATAAACTTATGTCTGAGATTGTTAATCCGGCTTTTTTCAGAGCAACTGGTAAGGCATGAGATGGTGCAATTGTAAAATCTATTGGATCAACTGCTGCATCTCCATATGCTAATAAATAGATATATATGTATATATATATACAATATATATAGATTATTAATGAATGATTAATGGCATAAGTTTGCGAGTAGAGTAAGCTATAATAAATAACTTACATATGATTTTGGCAATAGGCTTAAGACCTAATTCGTCGGCTTTTTTGCGTGTAGTAAGTAGCAATGCGCTAGCTCCATCATTTAATGACGATGAGTTGGCAGCTGTTACGGTACCTTTATAATAAATTCATTACAACATCAATGTTGTAAATTTTACAAACTTTTATTTAATAACAACTATTACAGTAAATTTTATCCGTTTAACGGTTACTTACCATCAGGTTGAAACACAGGTTTTAAGGTTGGAATTTTATCATATTTGACATTTTTGTATTCTTCATCTTCATTAATAACTATTTCTTTTTTCTTGTCTTTAATCGTTACTGGAACAACTTCTTCTTTAAAAACACCATTCTATTTATAAAGATTGCATATCGAATCGATTTTTTTCTTTCCTTTTATAGCATATATAATATTCGTGTGTAAAAATATTTACCTTCCATGCTTCAGCCGCTCGTTTATAAGACTCAATAGCATGTCCATCTTGTTGTTCTCTTGAAATATTAAATTTCTTTGCTGTATTTTCTGCACAATTTCCCTTTTATTTTTTTTACCCGATAATTGCAAACAAATTATTAAAACATTGAAAAAAAAAAAAGAAAAAGAAACCCAAAAAATCATTCTTTTGAACGGTGTTGGTTTACCATACCATGCTAATTAATCATTCAATTAATAATGAAATAATTATAGAAATTTTATCAGCTTAATAAAAACTGATTGATTGATTGAATAATTTTGTAACAAATTTACATTAATTTGATCGATTAAAAAAAATGACTTACTGTATTTGATTATAAACGTCCCATAAACCATCTTTGATTATTCCATCTGCCATTGTTTGATTACCATATAAAACATTTCTTGGAACATAAAATCTACAATAATAAATAAATAAGTAAATATAAAACTTCAAAAGTCTTCTAAAACACCCCCCCTTTTTTTATCTTTTTATATTACTTACGGAACATTTGACATACTCTCCACACCACCTGCAATCATTACAGATCTATCACCAAGCGCTAAACTTTGAGCTGCAAAAATTACCGATTTCATTCCTGAAGCACATACTTTATTAATAGTTGTAGCTTCAGTTGATGTTGGCAAACCTATTTATAATTGATTAAAATTTAATTTGACAATTTTCTCTTTCTCATCAGCTAACTTTCTAGCTATTCCCTTTCTCTTTCTCTGCAACTTTTTTGATATCAGCTAATTCTTGCTTTTTCTTTAATTCCTGTTTATTTCCAAATAATTTTATCTTTCTTTAAAAAAAAATTTTTACATGCCTGCTTTTATTACAACTTGACGAGCTGGTGATTGTCCAATGTTAGCTTGTAACACATTACCAAAAAACACTTCTTCAACCTGATCAGGCTTAACACCTGATTTAAAATGATCATTCAATATTAAAACTTTTATTATAATTTATTTATTCAATTTTACTTACCAGAACGTTCAACCACACTTTTAACAGCAATTGCTCCAAGTTCTGGCGCTGTTAATTTCTTCAATGAACCATTAAAACAACCAACAGGTGTTCTAGCTGCTGATATAATAACAACTTCCTAGAATCGCACATATGAATATAAAAATTAATTATGAATTATATGTATATATATATATATATAATTAAAAATTAAAAAAATGAAAATTTTTTGTTACATTTATCCCACCACCAGTTGTATATTTACGAGAAACCTGATTATTTGGTTAATTTAATAAATCAATTCATCTTGAAATAGTTTCAAAATATAATTTTCTTACATTTTTTAAATAATTCGAAGTTTTATTGGCAAATCGAAACATTTTCTTCAATTAATTAAAGCGATTATGATAAAAAATTTTTTTTGATTTAGATGCAGCGAAATATGTTTGTTTACCCCCAAATCGGTAATGATTTACTTGCAGACTGTTAATTCGCAATTCGCCAGAAACGGAAAGAAATTACATAATGCAGATCGGGAAAATTTTCTCGATTTTGTAATAAAATAAACATATTATTAAAATAAATTTACTTATTATGATTTACTCGAGAAAAATAATAAAAACAATAAAAACAATTTATTGTTTTGTAGAAGTGCTATCTGGAATATCTACTAATCCAAATTTCCATTGTACTTAATTTTGGTATGCCAATTATTTCCAACTCACCTACTTCTACATTTTTTTTCAATTCTTCAACTACTTTATTGGACATATGTTTCCACCATCATTGTTATGTTTGGTGTAAACTAACATTGAATGTAGAGTCCATCCAGATTTCCCATAAAAATCAGATTTTGCTTCATGAGCTGACTGTGGTAAAATCTTCATTTTATAATCAACTATATACAATGATTGCACCCTCCTCATAAAGAGAAAGCAAGTTAGCATTAAATTGAGCATTAAGGTATGTCTTTCTTGCTTGGTGTGACCAATAATATTGAAGCTTATTTCTGTTATTAATAATTTGTCTAAATCATTTGCATAACCTGCATTAGTTGATGAAACCATTTTGATATCTTATTGCATTGTTTACAATTAGAAATATGGGAATTGGTACATTGTCCAAAAGCATATGGAAGATAATGCTCAAGACATTCAACATGATAAGTGTGTCCTAGGAAATCCGCTTTGGGTTCTTTATCATATTCATGTTTTAAATGATGTTGGATGGATTCAAGTTTTGCAATTAATTGATTCTAACAATATATGAAATTATTTCAGTATTTGATTGTTAATTATAACTACTATAAAGCATTTACTCACCTGATGATCTTTTTCATTTATTTTCTGATATTAGGATTTTCACATCATACACTATACCCATACTCAAAACAAATGCCACACAAACCCCCATATCTCCCTTATATACAAAAGAACCATCATTCAAGCATGTTAAAAATGTTGTCCTTTTCATTCCAGATGGATATAGTCCAAAGAATTTTCTCTGCAATGTTCCTTTTTGATCTTTCAAATATTTTACAGGATCACCAGTTTTTTCATTTACTCTATAAGAACTTAAATTGACAATATTTTTGTCAGCAAAAAAAATTTCAAATTGTCTTTTAGCTTCTTTTGTAATTCAAACTCTTGTAATTATTGGTTTTTCAGTTCCTGCGCATCCTGGACCATTAACTTCAGAATGCAATCTTGCTTTGGATATTGTTTTGGATGAGGCCTATTTTATTCAGATTATTGCAATTTAATCATTAATGGCATTACTATTGATAAGAATGTTAGGATGTTTATGTACATTCTAATGAACTTAGGCAGTAATAAATTTATTTTATTGGATATACTTTATTGTAAATAATCAACATCAAAGTATGATGTTATTAAACAATGTTTAATCCTAATGATGTTACTAATTCAAAAATTTATTTCTAACAAAAAATCATCATCTAGGTTATCAAATCTGGGGAATTTAAATATTTTGAGAACTCTCTAATTATAAAAACCATCATTAATTCATTAATCCATTGGGCCATTAACATTGTTCAATGCCACCCAATGCAATGATGAAATGTAGTTCAAATATGCATATTAAAATAAACTTACCTTGAGTTTTCTTCATATTGAAGTTTGCTTGAAATTATTGACAATATTCTTATTTTACCATCATAGCCTGTTTTGTATTGTTCCAATGATTTATTAAAAAATTTCAGCCATAATGAAATCTATTTTTTTTTCACATTCAAAAAGCCATTACTATTTAAAACCTCCAAGGTATCTTAATCAACTGATTGATCAGAGCTTTGAGACCAAAATTCATGCTTAAAATTCATCAAAAAATTTTGTATTAGTCCAAATCAATGATAAAATATTTTTAATTTTAAGGTAATTTTAAATCCTGGCTCGAGATTGATTTGCATTGGTTTTTTAAGCAAATGATTTCAGTGAAAATAAAGAAATTAAAAATACTCATGCAAACCTTGGAAATTATGAGTTTAGAATAAAAACTAAATAAAAAATTACCTCTAACTTGTCTATTGAAACTGGTGTGATTTCTGTACATCCAGTAACCCTCAACATTGCATGCCATGCTCTCATTTCACGTTCCCTAAATTCATGATTGTATGGATATAAATTTTTTAATTTTCCATGCAGTCAATAATTGTGCTTTTTTGTTCTAGCCAAGATTAAAAACTGCTCTCCAGTCAATATTAGGAGTTCTTTTTTTCAAATGATAATTGAAAATAGCATACATAATTTTTTCATTATTCCAAGGTAAAGGGTGTACATCTAGGAATTTACCAATTTGAATATTTTGTTTGGTCATTGGATGTTCCAACCCAAACAACTGCATTCCAGTGAATTTTTATAAATCTTTGCATTTTCCCATACTTTTGATGGTGTAGATCCAAAGAAAAACACTGGTGATTCAATATTATCCATGTAAATCACATATAGTATTGTCTGCCATTTTGTTCTATGCTTGTTTCCCAACAAACTCTCCTTGGATAAAGTAATGTGCCTTCTTCTAGTTTATTTTTACTCTTCATAACCCACCATTCTCTTGAGTTTACACCATAATACAAGTGTGGCTTTAATTGGCCTATTGAAATGAGATTTACAGTTAAATTGAGACGGCTAGTCATTTTAAAATTCTTAATTAAAATCAGCTCAGTATTATTGTTACTATCATAGGTCATCAGGGTATCAGGTGACAAATCAAGTGACTAAAAATAATTTTTGGACCAAATTGACAAATATAGGCACAAAAAAAATTTTAAAAAAAGGTCCAATTCGAGAACTATATAACTTTGCATTTATTTTTTTGGTAATCAGCAACCAAAAAACTTTCAAATTATAAATAATAATATTAATTATGACAGAAAGAGTAAGGCTACTACTATTACTATTGCTACTACTATAATAATAATGACAACAACAATAATAATAATGATAAATAATAATAATAGAATTCTAAACAGTCTTTTTCTTTCATTGTAAATTTCAAACGATAACAGGGAAGAAGTGGTGGTAGAGGCGGTTTTTCACGTGGAGGTGGTGGTAGAGGTGGTGGTATGGGATCAGGTGGAGGAGGAAGGGGTGGAGCAAGCTTTGGTCAAGATCAAAAACCTAAAAAAGAATCAATACTAGATTTATCAAAATATATGGATAAAAAAATACGCGTAAAATATAATGGTGGCCGCGAAGGTAATGATGATGACGATGATGATGATGATAATGATAATGAGTTGAGTAACAAAGATGATTAAATTTTATTTTATCATTATTTTTTTCAAGTTATTGGATCATTAAAAGGTTATGATCAATTATTGAATCTTGTACTTGATGAAACAGAAGAATTATTAAGAGGTATAATAATTAATTGATTGATTGATTAATTTTACTGATATTATAATTAATTCAATAATAAACAAATAACAATAAAAATATTTCCATCTTTCCTTCAAGATCCTGAGGATAATAGACTTTCAAATGAGACAAGATCACTTGGTTTAGTAGTTTGTCGTGGACCTGCTGTAATATTAATATCACCAGTTGATGGAATGGAAGAAATTCCAAATCCATTTCTTCAACAAGAATAAAAATGTTAAAAGTTTTTATTAACATTATAATGTAAAGGAAGGCTCTTATATGTGAAAATCTTCAAAACTCATTAACCACTGTTTTCCAAAAAGGAATTTTCCATGGACCATTATTTTATATATTTATATATTATGCATTTAAAAATCAATATTAAAAATATTAATATAAAAATTTCGAATTTGATATCAAACTAATCTTTGTTCCTTGGCTTTATTAAACTGAACCTTTTGGGAAGCACGAGAGCAAAATCAAAAGGCAAACATCTTAGTGAACGATTTTTGCTGTGTTGATTGCTAGTAATAAATATACATAGTTGATTATTGACAAAAAAATTGATTCTCCAAACACATGATGCCCAATAATTGAAAAATATATATACCGACTGATCTTTTAATATAAAAAAGTTGTCTATTTCTAACGGTGAATATGTTTGTATATTTGTCACCACCATTTCCAATAATTTTTGTTGTATATATACATATTAAAATAAACTCTTGATCAAAATGATATTCTCGAAAATACTTTAATAATAATGTAACCGAGGTAGATAGATCCTTTTGGATGATTATTACTATTTAAACTACCCATGTAAAGCATAGTGGAATCACATTTGAAGCAACAAGTAAAAGGACAGACAGAGAGAGTGAACTGTGTAAATTTTACCAATTTTTTATAAATTTAAAAATAAGTTATACACTAGAGTGCTTAATTTATAACTTGCTTTTCAAGAAATCCGCTGTGATGAGGTTTGACTGTAATAATAATAATAACCAGAGTGTTATTATACATTTCATTACGAATTTTAAATACTGTTTCCTCTCTTTCATGTGATAATGATGATAATAATTTATTATGTGACATTATATAAAAATATAAAATATAAAATTCGACTTGGTGTTTAATAAATGAGAATAACTTTTTCTTTGCGGAGCGGAGAATTGAATGACGTGTAACAAACAATTTTTTCGTATATTACATGATTAAATTGATGATGATAATAATAATAAGGATGTATTTAATTATTAGAATCTAATGCAATCAAATGTAAATAAAAAATATTGTTAGTAATAATTAACGGATAGTAATCTCCGATTAACTAATTAATTAATGAAATTTTTATTCACCATCAACATTTTAGAGAAAAGAGTTAAAATCAAGATTATTTAACGAACTATCATTACTTGTATAAATTTTCAAGCTTTTTGATTTAGCGATCTCCTCATCTAAGATTCTACTTGTATGATATGCATCTGGATGTGATTTGTATGCTTGTTGCAAATCACTATTACCACCACCGCTGCTGCTACCATGTTTTTTGATTTTAGGAAATTTGAATAATCTTTCTATTAAACTATTATTCTTACTATTATTATTTTAAAAAATTCATTACGTTTATTTCCAGCAAAATCATAAAGCTCTCTACTAGTTGGTCTTTTTGATGGATCCACATCCCAACACCTCTGCATCATTTGCACACAATCATCAGGGGTGGTCATAAACCTTCACATATGTCAAAAATCAAACGATGATTGTGAGCTCTGTCATCAAATGGTGGATGACCTGCAAATATTTCCCACATTAACATCCCAACACTATAGATATCAGATTCTTTGGTGTTCTTTGTATAAATTTTGCCTCTAAGTAGTTCGGGTGCAACATATGATACAATTCCATAGACTTTATTTGATGACTTTTCATCAACTGGTCCACATAATCCCAAATCTGTAATATAACAACCACCTCCTTGCAATAATATATTACCACTATGTAAATCACAATGGATTAAATCTTTTTCATAAAATATTGTCATTCTGTCTTTTAATGTTAAATTATGATGATTTTTTTGTAAATAATCCCTTAAATTTCCCTCTAAATAATTTAAAACTATTGCATAATTTCCAATATCTGAGAATTTGGTTATACCATGGCATTGAACAATCAATGGTGCTTTAATTTTAGAATAATTCATTGCCTGTAATTAAATAAAATCAATTAGCATTATATAATACATTATTGTTTTAAATGACAACTACCAACCTCATCAAAAAAGGCCTTTCCTGGATTGCTTGAATTGTTTAAACTTTTTAATACTACTAGTTGTCCTCCAAAATAACTAAATTCCTTTTTATTTTCATCATAATCATTAATACCTCCTCTTGTCCATGTAGCAGTATAAACTGAACTAAATCCACCTTCAGTCAACTTTGTTACTTTTATGAATTGCTCAAAAGGTACCCACTCTAAAATATAGTTTGGCAGAGATGATTTCATTTGACATTGTTGAATAAAGTTGTCAACTATGTTATTTTCAGATGTCCAAGTGGTGAAAAGACTCTGTAATTGTAAACTAATACAACCTTCACAGAACCTATCAGAGTATATTGTCAATTTACACTTATTACACTCTTTTGGTTTTCCCCCTTTCTCTCTTTCATTACCTAATTCAAAATAATAAATAAAATTTTCTTTACAATATTCTTTTTCATTTTCAGAAAGCTCTTTGTTTTTCTTGACCAACAAAAAAAAATAATCTTTTCTACTTTCTTCATCAGAGTTAGCCAGAGCATTATTATACATTTCATTATCAATTTTATATACAAATTCTTTTCTTTCTTGTGATAACGATGATAATAATTTATTATGTGACATTGTGTAAAAATATAAAATATAAAATTCGACTTGGTGTTTTAATGAATGTGGGGGTTTTTTGAAAATAACAGTTACACTATTTTTCCCTTAACACATATATAAACCAGTAAAAAGAGAATCAATAGATTATATATAAGCAAAGAAAAATGGAACCTTAAATTAGCATAAAAGAATTTTAAATATAATTAATTGCATATCTTTAATAAAACAAACATGACTTAGCTATTTAATCATTTCCTTCATTTCCTTGTATGTGAATGCCTCCATCCATCAAATATTCATGATGGTCATGATTATTATGTGATACATTTGATATCAT